GATTTTTATTTGTTTTTCTTGCACTCTGATTTGAATGCATGTTTTTGTTTAGATATTGTAAATCACTTTACCTTCAAAAAAAGTTGCCCATAAATTTAAATAATACAGTAAGTATGGGGAGGATGCTTGTAATATGCATGGAAATGTATCTCAGAGTTGTGACTACCATATGCAGACACCATGGGCCTGTGCTGATTGCAGGAATAATGCGGGCTTGAGTCTCCCCAAAAAGCCATCTGTCTGTTTTTATAGATGGATAAGAGCTCCCTGCACTTTTGACAGAGTCCCATGTGCCATACATGATGGTGAAATAAATAGGAGTTTGGTATCTTGGAAGGATAAAATGGCAAGCCTCTGCTATTGGTTTATATTAATGTGTTTATTTGTGTTTATGTACAAACTTAGTTGTATATTCTAGCACCAACACAGAGGAAAGTCACATATTGAGTGTAAATTGTGGCCTCGGTGATGTTCAACTGTTATTTCAGCCAGCTGGCCAATGCCAGCAATACAACAGATGCCTTATGTTTCTGGCATTGGACACCATCCTGCAATCGTTATCATTATTAAAAGTGATGAACTCATATACTGCTTTGGATTCAAAGAACATATGGCGCTTAGGAGTTGAGCCTGCAAATGTTTATGAACGTGAGTAGCTTCAAATGGCTGTAATAGACCTAGTCTAGTGGGGTGGAAAAGCATCTGGAGCAAATAAATAAAATAAAATTGTTTTTTTCAGAAAGGGTGGTAGAGCTTCTAGTTCATCCCCTCCAGCACCTGTCAGTGAGAATAGGTACTATTGTTTTACATTAAATGAACACACACAGGCTTATAAGTGTGCTCAAAACAACTCCCTTAAACTCTGATCCTGGAAAAGCTGAATTGTATGACCCATATAAACCATGCACAGTTGAAAATGTGCACATATTTGCTTCTTTTGCATATTTTATTTTAGATATTTTCCTAGTTAAAACAGAATTGAGTAAGACTGGAGAGCAGGGCACAGGGAAACCACAGGGACCCATAAAAAAATATCTTCCTACTACTGCGAAGGGAGATACCATGAAGTATACAATCCCAAGTTACAGTAGGAAAATGCCTTAATCAAATCAGTGGAAATATCACAACCTATTATGGAGGTTTTCTAGTCCCACAGTCCTTTTCTTCAGGCTGGATGTTTACACAAAAAAGGGAGTAGAGGTCAGGAAGGATTTATTGAACATGTTGAAAAGACCCCAGTCCTCATGCTGTAAGACAGAGTGGAGAAGGTCTTTTGCAGACTAAAGGCCAAACTAGGTGTGATGTTATTTTCACAAAAGCAATTGACTTTCTTGTTCTTGTTATGTGCGTCTGCAGGGAAGCCTGTGCATCATCAGAAAGGAGTGTGCAGGCTCTGAGTTCTCCATAACTCTTCATCAGGTTAGATCAGGTGTGGGGAACCTTTGGCCCTCCAGATGTTTCTGAACTACAACTTTCACCATCCTTAGCCATCTTTCTGGGGCTGCTAGGATCTGTAATTCAGCAACACATGGAGGGCCAAAGCTTCCTAATTCATGGGTTAGTTGGTAAACAGTTCAATGTGGGGAGAGAAATGACTGGAAAAAGCAATAGGGTCTGCATCTTTAGACGTAATGGGAGAGGTGCTAGCTGATGTTCAAATGAGTCTCTTTTCAGTTCTGTGGCAGCCACCTTGCAACCACCATGGGCCAAGCGCTACCTAGGGAAGAGAAAAACAGCCACAACGGAGGGTACACTATCCTGCACTCTCCCTTTCCTTATTTAGGAACTTGCTGCTACCAAATAAAGAGGGGTATTTCTACAAGGAAGTCTGCAAACCACCTTGGGTCTCCCTGGTGTAGGTTATGGTTTCCAAGCACAAGGGTTTTAAAATAAGAAGATATCACATCAGGTATAAGAAAGGGGAAAAAAGCCATACATTAGTAGGACAAAAATATGGAGTTAAAGAGAAAATATATTTTATACAAAAGTTACAGAAAGCCCAAAAATTCCCCAAATGGAGCAAAATAGATGACATAACCTTTCCCTGAACTTAAACAGTAGCTCTCCTTACCAGACTCTCAGAAGAATCCTACTCTCAAGTAGCAGCCCTTCTTTGTTTGCTTTTCTCCAGGTGTACAAAGCTTATCAGACTGAGATCAATCTTGATCTGCTTCCATCCTTGGGCAAAACATCACCCTTGGCCACCTTGCAACAATAAGGTAAACTAAACCTCACACCCACCAATTTTTTAAAACAAATTCTGGAGCCCATTTGAAAGAGACAGTATTTCTCATGAGGGATGAAAACTTGAAAGAAATTGGAGCATGTGTTTTGGCACAGGAAGTTACAGGGAACCAGGCAGAGGATGTTCATGGCAATGGTGCCCTCCCTGTTGAACGCTTTCCCATCAGGTGTCAAGGAGATAAAGAACTACACAACTTTTAGAAGACATCTGAAGGCAGCCCTGTATTGGGAAGTTTTAAATGTTTGACGTTACATTATGTTTTTATATGGGTTGGAAGCAGCCCAGAGTGGCTGGGGCAACCCAGCCAGATGGGCAGGGAATTATTATTGTTGTTGTTGTTGTTGTTGTTGCAAAAAGTTTCTTCCACTCACCGTTGATAATGGATAAGCAGGAACTGACACCCTTCCATTAGAATAATGGTCTATCTAAATGCTCAATGTTCTTTCTCTAATGCAGGCATGTCCAACAGGTAGATCGTGATCTACTGGTAGAACACTGGACGTCTGCAGTAGATCACTGGTAGATCATTGGCTCCCCCCCCCCCAAGAAGCTGAACAACTGTGCCTCCCCTAAAAAAAGCTCAACATTTTTACCTCCTCCCTGAAAAAACTCAACAACTTTGACCTGAACCCTCCAAAAGGGGGTAGATCACTGCCAGTTTTTAACTCAGTGAGTAGTTTGCAGTCTCTTGGGAGTTGGTATCCAAACAGTATCTGATGCTGCAGAGGAAACACAAGTAAGAACTATTTTAGAGTGGTCCAATTACTGTGCTCTCTCCTGCTGTTTTGCCATTTGAAGGTTAGGGAGCCCTTGATTAATGATGACCAAAGACAAGGTTTTGACCAACTTGGCAAAAAGCCTTGGAGGACCGCATTCTACAGGAATGTGCCTAAATCATTTTTTGAAGCCTGTTATACTGTTGGCATGCTGAGCAACCTTTGGCATGTCGTTCCAAAGAAGAATGATTTGTTTAAAGTGCTGCTTTGATTTACTATTTTTGTCCGCTCATTTCAGCAAGCATCCTCCAATCCTTGAGTTCTGCATGGGTTTACTGCATGCAGATTTCCAATTTAGTCATGACTGATTCATCTTTGGAGTCAAGCAAAGCGATGCACCATTTACCCTATGCACATATCATTTGCCAGGAAGAGCAGGAGGGGCCACAGCTTGGTGGGAGAGGGCAAGCTTTGAGTGCAGTAAGTTCTAGATGCTTTCCACTGGAGATACCAGGAATTGGATCAGGTGGAAGGCAAGAAGTAAGACCCTGAATTGCCACTGCCAGTAGGAACTTTCAGAGATTGATGGACTGCTGCTTAGACAATCCTGGGATAGATGGGCCCATGGGTTGACTCAGTATCATTGAACTTGGTAATTTCTCCATTTTGTTTAACCATACTCCACCAATCAATGAAAACAAAAGAAATTTCATTCAGAAATCAACAAGAGGAGAATATTTCAGTGAGGTTCTGATGGGTGGCAGCAGAGATTTTCTTGCATTGGCCCATGTGGTTGAAGGGGTGTTTTATTAATGTCGTTCTTAATGTCCTCTTTTGAAGCCCACCTTTTTTTATTTTTATTTTAAAAGGTGATCTATAATTAAACAGAGAACCCAAAAAGCAAGAGTTGGCATCAATACTACATATTCATAAAACTGTCATACCACCATATGCCCTCTGAAACCACAGTGAAACGTTTTAAATTCAGCCACGCAGAACCCCAATTTCTCTAAGAGGAAAGCACAGATTATGCAATCATACTGCATGGTGAAATTCAAACACCATTCCAAAAAAATATGCTCAAATTGAACTAATTCTGGTTTTGTTTCATTTAAATATTACACTGCTGAAATATTGAATTCGTGGTTAGTTCACAGAAAGTATTGTGGAAATTTGACTCTTTTTGACAATCTTTGAAAGGTGAATGATGGCTGTGGCAAGGAATCCCTGCCCTATTCAGGCATCCAGCCTGATTTCACAAGGGCTTAAATGTGTGTAGGGGTCAGGTATGTATGTGTCAGCCCTCTGCCCAACTTTCCCTCTGTGCAAATTTCTGCACACACTTAGCCCTACCATAATTAGGATGAATGTCTGAATAGGCCTCCCAGCTTGCGCAGCTATTTTATTGGGTGTGTTGTGACTCTGACAATCCAGGCCTTTTGATTTCCAAAAGACTGATCTGCAGGAGGAGCAAATTAACTGCTGGATCCTGTTTGGTTTCTTTTAGAGATGTATTATGAATGTTCTTGGAAATTCTGGGAAAACTGCCAAATTGTGAAATCACCTGATCCAGAAAGCATGGGTCCAAGAAGTTTTCCACTTGCCCCACTCCCTTCTCCCTCAGAGAAACCCTATCCTAATCCCTATCTCCCACCTTAAATCAAGCCCTGTCCATCAAACTAAACCCCATCTACCTCCAGCTCCTTCCCTTCTCTATCCCTATCTAAAAACTCCCTCAGAAACAGCTCCTTTTATGTTCCCTCCCAAATTTCTGGCTCCACCCCTCTCTGGCTACTTTGGTCCAGCTCTGCTGTCCGACACAGTGCCCTTCTTAAAATATATATGATACAGTCCCTTCTGTTTCTGCCTTTGCAGACTGGTGACTGGCAAAAGCAGCACTCTCCAGACTTCCAGTACACAGGAAGCTGCCTTATACTGACTTGGACCATTGGCCCATCTAACTCAATATCAACTGTGCTGACTGGGAACAGCTCTCTCTCTCCAGGGTTTGAGACAGGGATCTCTCTCTCAGCCCTGCCTGGGGATGCTGGGAACTGAACCCAGGACCTTTTGCATGCAAAGCAGACACTCTACCAATACTGTGTGCTTTCCCCTAAGAGAGGATCATTGGCATCAATGTGCTACTTCTCACGTTCCCTCTTGCTCTGAGCGTTTCCAGAAATGTGTTTACTCCTGAAAATTGGCTTCTTAAGACTATGTCAACAGCATTTTAATATAATAAAAATGCACTGCCACCACTATCCGTGTCTATTTTGGGTGTGCTTCTCATAGCAGCAGAGCACAGAGACAGCAACTCAATGAGAAAACATCGGGCAAAAGTGCTGTTGTTGCAAACCTTTTACTGAACTTTCCTTGTACTTCTCTTTGCAGGCCTTATTGCAATACCACTCCAGTGTCCGGCTGCAAAAGGCAGGTGGGAGGGGGGAGCGCATTTGTGAGCAGGGCCGGAAGCTACTTCCAGCTTCACTCCTTCAGTGTAATCAATTGCTAAGATGTTAGGAGGTTTAAGAAGTCCCAGCCAGGCCTCCTTTCCCCTTCTTTCTTTTCAGATGAGCCATCCAACCTCCCAATATGACTTTAGTTGTCTCCTGTAATTCGGTAGCAGAAGGGTTTTTTCCCCGCCTACTCCATCCCATGGTGCCAAGCAGGTGTGAGTGGTAGTGGGCATCTGATAATTATGTCAGTTGGTTTCAATTGGCAGACGGGCAGAAAAGGGAAGCTGCTGGAATAATTGGCGACTACCCTGAGCCACATATCCGGTGAATAGTGATTCCAGAGACTTGCTCAAGGGAATTTGGACCCCACCTCCCTCCAAGATTACTCTTCAGTAGTTCAGAAATGATACCACCAGGTCCAGGAGCCCTGCTTTATTTTAGCTGATACAATATTTCCTCCTGATCGCTGATTTTAACTGGAGTACAATCAGGAGTGCCAGGGTGAAACAATATGGAAGAACTGGGAGCTGATGAATGTTGGTTGTTAAAAATTAGCCAACATGATATACTCAGACTTCAGCTGTAAAATGGCAACTACATATCCCTGCATTTTGAGTTAACCCACTCAACACAAACTGCCAGAAGGATTTAGAAGTTCAGGAAAAGGAAGCCACAATCAGCTTTTGCCAAGATTTCTTAGCTGCCTCTCTTGTTTTACGAGTTAAAAGATGCTTAATGTCAGGCTCCTATTCAAAATCATGACAGAGACTATCACTTGAAAATAAGGAAGATATCTTTAATTCAGGCTAATAGTAGTACAGGCCCAGGAGCAAACATGAGGAGTCAAGATTCAAAGGTACAAGGTGCACGGACAAGGGCAAGGGCAAGGCAAGAACTCATACTGGAGCTACAAAGATGTCTCAACAGGTGACAGGTCTCTCCTGCCAAGCTTTTAAGGATGAGGTGGGGCAGAATCACAGACTAGTAGAGTTGAAAGGTACCACAAGTGTCATCTAATCCAACCCCCTGCAATGCAGGAATATTTCACCCAACGTGGGGCTCAAACACACAACCCTGAGATTAAGAGTCTCTTGCTCTACTGATTGAGCTATCCCTCAACTCCCAAGCTCATTCATGGGGCTCTCCCACCCTATGGTTCTGCTGCACACACATGTGATCCACCTGGGCGGGTGTGTCTGATCCCACCTACAAAGTCAATACCCAGTTCTTGGTGACATGTCTAGGGTCTGGTTCCAGCTCTGACACCATCTCCTCCTATTCAGTCCCTCTCTCTGGCCGGTCAAGCCCTCCCACCTCCCTAAGGATGATCTACACTCCTTCTCTGATATCTAAAGTCACAAGGGTAGGAGCTATCTCCTCCATCCTTGGGTGCCAGTCTTCTCCTCCTCCTGCCAAATAGGAGCTGTGGCTGCCAAGCATTGCCAGATTCTGATGAAGCCAGGGTCTGTTAGGTCTGTCATAATACCTAAACATGTTGTATAATTCCCAATAAGAGCAAGTGCATAAAAAGTGCTATATAGTGTTGCATATGAATGCTATATAGTAGTGTGTGTGTGTGTGTGTGTGTGTGTGTGTGTGGTTTGGTTGGAGGAAGGGCTAGGAGGGAGATACAAGGTCTCCTTTCCCACACTGCTCCTGGCTTTACGTTTAATCTGGATTTAAAAACCCTAATTAAGTATTAGTCCTACTGCTGAACTTATTCTGGCCTGAATCTGGGGCAGGTGGTAGTGGTAGTCCCCAGGTCAACCCAGAACAGATCAGATGATGCCCCACAAATCAGAGTCACAGGGCAGTTGGGGCTGTGTGTCTGTGCACAGCCCTACTATATAGTGCTATATAGGGGAATTGGAGAATAGCCTCTACCAAAGGTGACATGGACTTTGAAGAAGCATGAATTCAGGATGAAAGGGAGAAAAGTGCTATGAGGAAGGCACACTTGGGAAATCCTCGGTGTGATCAACCCTGTCCTGGAAACCTATGTCCTCACTGTAGAAGGACGTGTGGATTCAGAATTGGCCTCCACAGTCATTCACAAGCACACCATTAAGACCGTGTTCATGGGAAGACAATCTTACTTGGCTACTAGTGATCACCAAAGAAGTGCTATGTAAATGCATTTGTCTGGGTTTTCCTACTTAAAATATTGTAAGTTGCTTTGATTTGCCTTGGCAAAAAAGAAAGCAATGAACTTAATGAATGAACGAATAAATAAATAAAAAATAACAATTGAATTGGGCATGGTAGAACAAGTCTTTCGAAATGATTGTGTGCTGTAGCACCAGTCCACACTCTCACAGCTGCCTTCTTCACTAGTGGCAATCTCTAAGCCATCTTCAAGGGCAGCCCCATGTAGAGTGCATTAAAGGGTGAAAGATGAAATCTCTCAGTTGACAGTAAAACAGTGTCAACTGCCTTCCCCTTGACGCTTTGGCTTCAGTGTTTATGGACTGTCATTCACCTGTGAAAATGCAACAGAAGCCCTGTCCAAACAACCAGAACACGAGAAATCAGATATCTGGGAAACTGCAAACTATGTGTGCAACTCAGTTTGAGCTTGCCAGAAGCTTTGCAAATATTTTAGCAAAAACTGTCCTGACTGTTAAATCCATGATGAAAGTCAAAACAGACTGGCTTCAGAGAGTGCTGCCAAAGTGTATAGCTTTAATTGTAATTCCTGGTCTCAAGTTAAATTAAAGAGGATATGGTTGAATGGTGGGGCACTTTGCTTGCTGTATGCCAAGATGAACCCCAGGCATTTTCAGTTGATCTTGGCAATGTCTTTGAAATGACATCTAGATTAGACGGGGAGGCTGGGACCTTTAGAGTACAAATACAAATTTAGATCCTCTACCAAGCCTGACTGCTACATCCCTATATTACATTACATAGTCAGGTGGATGAGGAAAAGGCATAAGATATTTGAGATGGGAATGGATGGGTTGGTGGGGGTTTGATTTAGGCTAATTCCATCATAGGGATGGATGGACTGGTAGATTTTCCAACTGGCTCAGTTTCACATGCAATCATTCATAAACCCATTCTGTTTCACTTATGTTCCATTAATCTGAATTTTATATGAAAATAATAGTAATAAATTTCATACGGCCATGGATAAATAAAATCTTCCAAGTGGCTTACAATAGAGGAAGAACAATGCAGCATTTACAAATACAAATTGTGTTAATTAAAGCAACCTGAAAATTTGCTTTGAGTTATTTTGTGGCAAAAATATCAATTTCTAAACTATTTTCTCTCAGAAATTTGTGTTTTAAGCATATCCTAAAATTCACATTTTTATACTTGGTGGGGGGTTTGGGGGTTTTTGGTTGTTGTTTTTTTACACTTTTTGGCCCAATAATTGCCACACAAAATTTAGGGAAGCGTCAAATAAAAGGGTAACTGTGTGCATCTCTACACATCAGCCTGGACATGCATATGAGCTCAATGAAGTGAGCGGACAACTTGTCTTGTACATCATCTTCATACCAAACACATGAAGAGGACTTTTAAATGTGGTGGGTTTCTTTTTACTCCCCCCACCTTTTTGTGGAGATTGCATGAGAAGACTACCGCAACATATTTAAACACCTTTCTGCTTTTGAGTCTGCTTTACTTGACAAGGCTCACAGAGCATGGGCTAAAGGCAGAATGTTTCAGGGAGTGCCTAGACCTAAATGGCTTGAAGGTCTGTGCTTTTGTGCATGAGATGTTACCCTGAGACAGGACCTGTGATTAAGAATGCAGGTAAAGAATGACCTTGTTTTGTTGATCTCTGTTTGGCAATAAAAGCTCCTTCTGTTTTCACAAACCTAGCCAGTGCAATTTTACAGGAAATGACCTGTCTTGGTGAGCTACTGGAATAGGTCACAAGGTTACACAACACTATATTTACAGTGTAGAAGTGCCTCCAAATCGCCATCTCGCTGTATTGCAGCAGATACAATTAGGAGGTTTAGCCAAACTCTGCTATCGGAAACATGGGCCCCATCTGCACTATACATTTAAGGCAATATCATACAACTTCCCCCAAAGAATCCTGGGAACTGTAGTTTGTTAAGGCTGTTGAGAGTTGTTAGGCTTCTGTTCCTCTCACAGAGCTACAATTCCTAGTTTCCTGGGAAGAGGGGCTGACTGTTAAAGCATTCTGCGAACTGTGTATTTTGTGAGGGGAATAAGGGTATCTCAGCACCCTTAACAAACTACAGTTTCTGTTATACTTTGGGGGAAGCCATGACAGTTTAAAGTGGTGTGATACTAATGTGAATGCATATTACAGATGGTGCAAGGAGAAAAAGAAACCTTGGCCATCGTGACAACAACCCCCTGTGATGAGAACAACAGTCCCTTCTTACTTCTAGCTGGTTTGATCCTCAGAAAAGGCACCTACATCATTTTCTCGACAGCCGCACAGAAACCTTCTACCGTTTCTCACACAGTGACACTTCAGGCTCCCAGCCCTCTCATTTATTTGGGAAGAATAATATTTTCTTTTCCTTGTCCACTAAATCATGCAGCTTTCAAATAATGACAGCAAAATTAATGATAAACAGTCAGTGCCTAGTAAATATTCCTGTCCCGGAGGGACTCACAAATTAGCAAGTCTGATGTCATTAAACATTTAGGCCTTTATTAACTGC